CTTGATAGATCCTGGTTCTACATTGTCGTATATCTCCCCCTTCGTTGCTAGTAAATGGGATAGAGAGCCTGAATTGTTGCATAAGTCATTTGAGGTATCTACGCCAATGGGTGAGTCTGTTGTAGTTAGATGGGTATATCGAAGTTGCGACGTGAAAATTCATGACCGCCATACGTTAGCTGATTTGCATGAGCTAGAAATGGTTGATTTTGATATCATTATGGGTATGGATTGGATGGCTTCTTGTTATGCCAATGTAGATTGCTGGACAAAGATTGTTCATTTTAATTTTCCAAGTGAACCTATTATTGAATGGAAAGGTGATGCTGCAGTGCCTAAGGGGAAGTTTATTTCTCACCTTAAAGCTAGAAAGATGATTTTGAAGGGGTACATCTATCATTTGGTATGAGTGCATGATATGGAGGTGAAATCTCCAACCCTTCAATCGGTTCCCGTCGTGAATGAATTTCCCGATGTATTTCCTAATGAACTTTCTGGTCTTCCTCCCGAAAGAGAAATTGACTTTGCTATTGATGTGCTTCAAGATACTCAGCCAATATCTATTCCTCCATACAGAATGGCTCCTGCTGAGTTAAAAGAATTGAAAGCCCAGTTGAAGGATCTTCTGAATAAGGGCTTTATCAGGCCCAGTATTTCTTCCTGGGGTGCACTAGTGCTGTTTGTTCGTAAGAAGGACGGTTTGTTAAGAATGTGTATTGACTATCGTCAGCTCAACAAAGTGACTATCAAGAACAAGTACCCCTTACCCAGAATTGATGATTTGTTTGATTAGTTGCAACATGCCAAATATTTCTCAAAGATTGACCTTCGATCCGGCTATCACCAGTTGCGAGTTAAGGAGAGAGATATTCCGAAAATGGCTTTTCGGACTAGATATGGCCATTATGAATTCCTTGTGATGTCTTTCGATCTTACTAATGCGCCAACAATTTTCATGGATTTAATGAATCGGGTTTTCAAGCCATTTCTAGATATATTTGTCATTGTTTTCATTGATGATATTCTGGTATATTCTCGATCAGAAGCAGAACATGAGGATCATTTGCGTGTGGTATTGCAGGCTTTGAAAAATCAGAAATTATATGCTAAATTCTCCAAATGTGAATTTTGGTTGAATTCAGTGGCTTTCCTTGGACATATCGTTTCCGATGAAGGTATTAAGGTAGATGGTCAGAAAATTGAAGCAGTACAAAATTGGCCTAGACCCACAACTCCTACGAAAGTTCGTAGTTTCTTGGGCTTAGCTGGTTATTATTAGAGATTTGTGGAGAACTTCTCTTCTATTGCTGCTCCCATGACAAAATTGACACACAAAGCCGTTGAGTTCCAATGGTCTGATGCATGTGAAATGATCTTTCATGAGTTGAAAAAACACTTAACATCAGCACCTGTTCTAGCACTTCCTGAGGGATCTGAAGGTTATGTAGTATATTGTGATGCATCTAGGGTTGGATTGGGATGTGTTCTAATGCAGCACGACAAAGTTATTGCATATGTTTCGAGGCAGTTGTGGAAGCACGAACACAATTATCCGACTCATGACATTGAGTTAGCAGCCGTTATATTTGCCTTGAAAATATGGCGTCATTATCTTTATGGTGTTCATGTGGATATCTATACAGATCACAAAATTTTACAATATATATTTAAGCAGAAAGAGATGAACTTGAGACAAAAGGAGGTGGCTTGAATTGCTGAAGGACTATGATGTGGATATTTTGTACCATCTGGGCAAAGCGAATGTGGTAGCTGATGCGTTGAGTCGCAAATCCATGGGCAGCTTGAAACATGTAGAAGCTGGGAAATTAGAAATGACTAAGGAGATATATCGATTGGCCAATCTGAGTGTGCGGCTATATGATACAGGTGACCAGGGTGTAGTAGTCCAAAATATTGCGGGGTCATCACTGGTAGATGAGGTAGAAATGCGTCAATTTGAGGATCCGGAGCTAGTCAAGATTAAAGAGAGCATCCCTTTTTAGAAGAAGCAGTTGTTCGAGCAATTTGATGATGGAATTCTAAAATATAAGCGCCGATGGTGTGCACCTAATGTTGGGGAGCTTCGTAAGCAAATTATGACAGAGATGCACCAGTCTCGGTACTCAGTTCATCCTGGTTCAACTAAAATGTATCATGATCTTCGTCAGCTATACTGGTGGAACGACATGAAGAAAGATATAACCACATTTGTGGCTTAGTGTCCCAACTGCCAGCAGGTTAAAGCTGAACACCAGAAACCTGGAGGGATACTTCATAATATTGAGATTCCAACTTGGAAATGGGAATCGATTAATATGGATTTCATTACAGGATTGCCCAATTCTCACCGGAAGTTCAATTCAATTTGGGTCATTATGGGTAGGCTGACGAAATCAGCTCACTTTCTCCCAGTTAGGACCACCTATTCAGTTGAAGACTATGCGAGACTGTATATCAAGGAAATAGTTCGGCTACATGGAGTTCCGCTTTCTATTATATCTGATAGAGGTTCCCAATTTACAGCTAATTTCTGGAGGTCTTTTCAAGAAGGTTTGGGTACTCTTGTTAACCTTAGTACAACCTTTCATCCGCAGACCGACGGACAAGCCGAACGCACTATTCAGACGCTCGAAGTTATGTTGCGAGCTTGTGTCTTAGACTTCAAGGGAAATTGGGAAGATCATTTACCGTTTATTGAATTTGCCTACAATAACAGTTATTATGCCGATATTCAAATGGCACCCTATGAGGCACTATATGGGAGGAAATGCAGATCTCCTATTGGCTGGTTTGATGTTGGCGAGACAAAGTTGCTAGGACCTGAATTGCTACAACAAGCTATAGAAAAGGTAAAGTTGATCGAGTAAAGGTTGCGTACAGCTCAAAGTTGATAGAAATCATATTCAGATAGCCGACGTCGAGACTTGGAATTTGCTGTGGGAGACTGGGTATTCTTGAAAGTGTCACCTATGAAGGGTGTAATGAGATTTGGCAAGAAGGGAAAACTCAGACCTAGATATATCGGGCCATATCAGATTGTTCAGAGAATTGGACGAGTAGCCTACAAACTTGACTTGCCACCGAAATTAGACGCAATCCATCCGGTATTTCACGTTTCCATGCTTCGCAAATTTTTAGGTGATCCTTCTTGCATCAGCCCTATTGAGGATATTCAAGCTACCGAGGACTTGTCATATGAAGAAATACCTATTGCCATTCTTGACCGTCAAATCCGTAAGCTACGGACTAAAGAGGTAGCCTCAGTAAAAGTACTTTGGAGGAACAATAATGTAGAGGAAATGACATGGGAGGCCAAGGAGGACATGAAGTCCAAATACCTTCATTTATTTGAGTCTTCAGGTGATATGCTTGAGACAAATATGGCAGGTGTTGCATAGATATCAACCAGTGACAGTTGAGGTAATTAAGTTATGGCTAACCTTCTTATTATCATTATTGTATAAGTAAACGGCTGTGTGGGGCCAAGTTGATGTTATTATGATGATGTGTAGCCCTGTGTGGCCTAAGATATGTATGTTTGGGCTGATGATAGGTTTTGGATAGTCCTATTTACAGGGGAAACTCTGGCAAATTTTTTTTTAAAAAAAAATAAAAATTTCAGAGGTTAGGTTAACCGCTAACATTCGAGGACGAATGTTCTTAAGGAGGGGAGAATGTTACACCTTGTGTATTTGGCATTATCATGCTGTAAAGGGGATAATTCGATAGGAAGATAAATTCTATGAGATATTTAAATGATGCAATAGTTATACGTTAAGATTGGAAGTCATTTGAGTTGTGATTAAAAATTCGACAAAGATCGCCGCAAGTTACGGGTTTTAAATTTTACTGAAATTTGGATAGAATGTTGATGAACTTTTCTCTCAATATATTAGGAGTTATGGTGTGTTCTACCCACCAAATCGAAGGTCTATGAGCCTATTTTTCAACTCAACAAACCGTTTGTTAATACGACTTCGGAGTAGAGAGATATTAATATTTTTGTACAGGGGTACACACTGTTACGGGAACAGTGTGCATAGTCGGTTTTGGTTAATTTTTTTTTTCTTAAGTCAGTTTTACAATATAACCCCTGCATTTTATCCTCTCCAAAACAGAACCTAAAATCTAGGGATTTCCTCTCAAACTCATCCCATCCATCTAGCCAATCATAACAACAATTTAGTCATCCTCAAGATAGAGAACACCATGGT